ACAACCTAACCTAGTCATGGTTCAACATAACAAAATCTCTTAACTACCTAACCTAGCCACGGTTTAACATAACCAAGTCTATAAAACAACCTAACCTAATCATGGTTTAACATAACCAAGTCTCTTAACTATCCAACCTGTCACGGTTTTAACATAACAAATTCTCTAAACAATCTAACCCAGTTATGGTTCAACAGAAAATAATCTTAAAACAACCGAAGCCAGTCATGGTTCAACATTACCAAGTCTCTTATCTTCCTAACTCAGTCACGATTTAAAATAACCTAGTCCTTAAACAATCTAACACAGTCACGGTTTAACATAACCAATTCTATACAACAACCTCACCTAGTCACTGGACAACATTACCGAGTTTCTTATCTACCTAGCCCAGTCACGGTTTGACACAACGAAATCTCTAATCAGCCTAATCCAGTCACTGTTCCACATAACCAAGTCTCTAAACTACATAACAAAGTAGTTTACAGTTTAACACAGTTTAACATAACCAAATCTCAAAACTACGTGATGATAACGTGTAAGTGCGGCATATTAGTTTACCTCATTAATTGAACTTGGTCCATTATTTATATAATGAATTGACGACGAATTTCCCGTTCATTTCAAGGAGCACACGGCAGATGTGACCGGTCTGCAGGGGATGCTCACTTCTCCATGGCACCTGATCCCACCTCAAATGTTTTGAAGCTCCGTGTTTGCTCTGCTTTTGTTTTGTATTGTTTTATGGACTTTTGATCCTGAATTCAGTTCGTTATCTCCATATATTTCATTCTAAACAGAACGGAGAAGAATAGAAAAATATATTTAAGAAATAAATTAATTTTTTGAAAATTCATGAGGATATGAACTACGACGCTTTAAGCCGGCATAGTGTTAGCGCTTAATGATAAATATGCCGACGAGAAGCGTCGTAGTTCATGTATCTCGTGATTTATTTTTTTAATTAACATTATTTAAGGAATAACTGTCTCATTTTTCAATTTCATGATGTGATCAATCAATTGATAAAATTATCACGCAAGCACGCAAGCCAATCGAATGATCGTCGTCCTGATATTGAAAAAATCTGAGAGTTATTCCTTATATTTACATGCTTTGATTCCGCCAATCTACGTGCTCCAAGCCCTGCTTCTGTCTAGCTGTTTGTCCTCCCCTGCACGTGGTTTTTTTAGGAACTGTTCCAAAATATTGATGGGGAAATAAAGTAGATTTACAATTTGTAATTTATCTCGGACAAAGACATTGGAAATGTAAATACATACATGTATATATTAGGCAATTTCACCACATATGTTCAAATTATGCATTACGTTTCATATAAGAAGCAATTTTTGGATCATATAAGAACGATATGAATATATATACAATCATATGAGAATCATATGTGGCAAATCATACATGGATCATATGAATACACACATGTAAATCATACGAAGTAGTATACTGAGTTCATATGCCTTTATATGATTCTCATATGAAACCAATTATATTATCAACATATCATTTGGACCATATGTGGCAAATTTGCCTGTATACACACACTTTTACTTCTTATCCTAACCTCACTTTTAGTGTTTACCTTCAGTCCTCCATACTAATGATCCTGAAGTGTGTCATTTAGCATGTTATCTTCTTCTATCCCCAAACTGCACACCAACTTTATTTTTATCTCCGACTTTATCCAAGACAAGAAGGCTAACGTTTGTGTTGCAAGTACACGTATCTACTGTATTTTTATCTCCGACTTTATCTATGACAAGAGGGCTAACCGATTGTGTTGCAAGTACATGTATTTACTTGTACCATAAAATAAGTTGTTAAAATGCTGTCATCATGAATAATTTTGGGTATATTCTTGAGGTTTTTATAATTAATAATCTTTCAAAAAAAATTCATATTATGAAAAAAACATAAAAATATGTATGAGTAAGTTTTACAGTTATATTAAGGGCTAAATATCAAAACGAACACTTGGTCAGATTGGATTAAGTTTTAGAAATTCAAAAATCGTGTAATAAATTTAATTATACATTTATATGCAAACTTCATGTATCTATTCGTCCATTTTCACTAAATTGGGGGTGGTTAAAAAATTTAAAAGGATACAAAAGCCTTTATGAAATGGTTCCAGCCGACAATGCGTCTAACATTATAGTCTCTGTTTGTAAGGCATATTACTATAATTGCATTTTAGCTTGTATTTTTATTTCCTGCTGGAAATCCAACTTTTATTTGCAGTTCACTTTCTGGAGATGACATTAATAGCATTTCATCATTTTAAAACGTTTAGAACTTTAAGAAACTTTAACAAATCGCCAAATTTACCAAAAGTCAGTAACATTCAGATTTACGACTTTTCTATATTATATATAAAACCACTCTTAACCATAAATTATCAACAAAATCATTTTGCAAAGAACCACTTTAAATTCCACACAATTCAGGTATTGTCTTCATGTATTTTTTTAATGCTCCATTACAGAGAAAACAAACAAAATCAATAATCCAGGAGTTTTGAGGGAAACGTTGAAATTCTTAAAATCCTTCCAAAATTTGTTGCGAAACTGACAATCTAAGCATTAATTATCATATTCTAGGCCTAGCTGCCTTCATTTTGCAAAGGCATTTTTCTTTCTTTAGGAAAATGAAATCAAATTGTTTGAACATTGTTCTTTATAGTGTCTAAAGTTTGTGTTCAATTTTGAATATATTTCTCTGGTGAACCCCAGTGCACCTACTCTTTTTCGAAAACCAGAGAAAGTGGTTGAAACATTTCTTCAAGTTTAATAATTTTATAAGAAGTTAAATCCCCCTTTTTGCATTTTCTGGTCTGCTGCATGTTCCTTTTTCTGCTGCAGTATATTCTATGTAATTAAAAGGTTTTTTTTTTAAAATTTTGCAATTCTATAAGATCAGTGTTTCAAAATCATCATTGTGCTTAAAAAATTTAAATTGCTGTTGGTTAAATAATCACTTTGTTATTTCCTTTGTTCGGTAGCAGTCCAATTTTAAGGGATATCAGTACTTAGACAGTCTGATATAACGATTAATATCAGACTGCTCACTAATATCGGACTGCCATAGGTAAATTTTTAGACTCCATGAACAAAGGAATGACGTCACAGTAATGTTTTAATAGGAGCAGAACAAACACAGACCTCCAAGACATCAGAGGTGGGATCAGGTACCATCTAGGAGAGAGCATCCCCATTCAACCGGTCACACTTGTCATGATCGGGAAAAAACGGAAACGGTGTCATTTGATGAAAAACCATGAAATAACATTTAAGAACTATCACAATTCAGCCAACATCATATAAGAATCATATCAATTAATTTGTGTAAATTATGTCTTAAGTAAGTGAAATAAAATTAAAATTTACAAATCATTTTGATAGAATATACTTTGCTGCCTTGTTACACCAAAGTGCATTGTGGCAATGTGACGTTTAATCTAAAGTGGATACACGTAATAAAAGGATGCTGGAGCTCCTCTTTGACAACCTTTAGGAAGTCTTCGGAGAACAGGTCTTCCAACAAACTGTTAGAATTCTAATTGACATTGTTGTGCTCTTGTATAAGCCTACATGTTTCTTCAGCCCTATAAAGCAAAATATTTACATGAGAAGAGAATACTTGTACTGCCGTGGCCTTCAGCTCGCAATTTAGATATACAGCTTCGAGCATTTTTTAAACTCACATAGGCACACAAATTAACGCCACATTGTTACAATGCGATTTGGTATAACAAAGCAGCGAAATATATCTTAAATATATAGATTTTTTTTAAATATATATACTCGGGCAGTCACAAATTTAGAAATACATTTAGGAGGGTCCCAATTTTTAAAGTTGAGGGTGGAAATTCTACCTTCATTTTCCCCTATTTTACTTAAATACTGCTTTTTAAAATATTTTTTCACTAAGTCTTAAACTTCCCTCATCCCGAAATTCACTCTTATATACTTTTCTATATAAGATTTTAAAAATGTCATTTAAGTTGCTACCATGTAACTTGCACCTATATATACTGTAAACATGAACAGCATGTAGATATGTGCTAAACATATAGCTTTTATCTGGTTACTAAGCTACTGCTGTAATTCATATCAGATTGTATAAGTAATTAATTACAAAGGTCCTTCATATACCTCTGTTTTTGTATGAATGCGTTCATCATAGATCTAATTTACTTTACCAATTGCGCACTGTGTCAGTATAGAATATGTAACGTCATTTATTTGCTTTACTCTGATTTGTTATGTATTGTAGATAGTCCTGCCTCTCTATGTATCTGTATACACACACTTTCTTTTCCTCGTAGGATAATCCAACCCAGAGAAGATGAGTTTTGTCGTCATAACTCAGGCCCATTGGTCTGTTTATCCCTTGTCGTTGTGTCAGTATCATTGAGAGGTAGTGACCGTCTCTGTCAATCATATGTATTGTGTTATTGAAATCATCACACACCAAAATGTGTGACAAAGCGTCTGTACAGATTCCCCGTGGAAATAGTCCTGATCCTGATGGAGGACCTGTGTAGGAGTAGCGATGTCTTCCTCCACTCTCTGTCACCACTACAGCAAATCGGTCAGACACAATAACATTTCCATTGCGGTTCTCTGTGATGTACATAGGATCAGAATACAGTTCCTGGCCTGCATTTCCATGCTGTATAGTATGTTTGAGTTGTCCTTTGTCATTATAGCGTGCTATTATGCCTGAATAGTTGGAATGCATTCCGACCAGTATATCGCCGTTGAAGTGGGAGGAGTATATACACAGTCGTATCCATGGTTCTGTTTTCTTTATCAGTGTAGACTTTGTTCTGTAATCTTTAGAGAGTTTGACAATGTCACCATCCCTGTCTAAGTAAATAAGATCACCAGTAAGATTCACTGTGTGTTGTCCCCACACAACTCTAGTTGCAAAAACATCTGTCAGATGATGTAATATGTCACCCTCTGAGTTTATCAAGATCAGATTTTTACCATCACTGATCCAGACCTTGTCTGGTGTCCCACAGGAAATATGCGTAACATGATATGTTTCAACTGTGACTGTGAGAGATTTGGTTAATACCGGTGTAGACATTTTCAGCAGACTTTCATTTCTTACTTGTCTTTTTTCTGTCTCTATGATTTGGATTTCACCCAGTAAATCAGTCACATCCTCCCGTTTGATTTCCTCATTCAGGCAGACCAGAGCGAATTGTGTGAAACTAGGGGTGTCCTTTAACCTCTGTACACGAGTTCTCTTTAGTAACATGATGAATTCTAGCGGTCTGTTTGCTAACTGTTCAGATCTGTGTTCAAAGTTTTCTATGTTAAAAAGATGTTTTCTATTTTTTTGTAAACTTTGAATAAATCTTTTGTGTCTGATTTTGACATTACACATTACAGTGTCTATGAGGTTCCTTAGTTCCTGGGCTTTTATTAACATCTTTGACTGATTGTTGGGGATTTCTGGGTGATAAGTTTTTATATCAGATCTGATTCCTGCCAGAACACAACTGTTGTTACAGAGAGTCTCACATCTGATGTTGTGAACGATTTCTCTGTGGTGTTGTCGGTTTGTTTTGTATGCCATTCTAATGTCAAGTATATTGTGTTTTCTGTGTTCTGTACATTGGAAACAGATAGGAAGTTTACAGGAATAACAGTACTTTTGATACAACATGTCTGGGTGTCTCTCACAATTCTTTTGTTTTATAATATGGTCATATTTTTCACGGTAAAGCACAACATCATGGTATATGGAATCAAGATCTATAACATGTTTCTCTTTACACTGTAGACACAGGTCATGTTTACACTTGTTACAGTAGAATTCTGTGTCACCCTGACACTGAGAACACTGCCGGACTTTACACGGGGTATTATATGCTAAGGTGTCCATGATTTACAGGATTTAGTTGTTATGTTCAGAATCTGCTGAAACTAAATAAAATCAAATTACAGAATATCAAACACATATTTTACCAGGTCAGAAAGCATATAAAAGTTTAAAAAGAAAACGGTTAACTTAACAACAAAACTTCATTTGCACAAAATCTTGAAATAAATTGAGGTAATTTACACTGTGTATTTGGTAGCTTACACTGTGTATTTGGTAGCTAACATTGTGTATTTGGTAATTTACACTGTGTATTTGGTAATTTACACTGTGTATTTGGTAATTTACACTGTGTATTTGGTAATTTACACTGTGTATTTGGTAATTTACACTGTGTATTTGGTAATTTACACTGTGTATTTGGTAATTTACACTGTGTATTTGGTAATTTACACTGTGTATTTGGTAATTTACATGGTGTTTTTGGTAATTTACACTGTGTATTTGGTAATTTACATGGTGTATTTGGTAATTTACACTGTATATTTGGTAATTTACATGGTGTATTTGGTAATTTACATGGTGTATTTGGTAATTTACATGGTGTATTTGGTAATTTACATGGTGTATTTGGTAATTTACATGGTGTATTTGGTAATTTACACTGTGTATTTGGTAATTTACACTGTGTATTTGGTAATTTACATGGTGTATTTGGTAATTTACACTGTGTATTTGGTAATTTACACTGTGTATTTGGTAATTTACACTGTGTATTTGGTAATTTACACTGTGTATTTGGTAATTTACATGGTGTATTTGGTAATTTACATGGTGTATTTGGTAATTTACACTGTGTATTTGGTAATTTACACTGTGTATTTGGTAATTTACATGGTGTATTTGGTAATTTACACTGTGTATTTGGTAATTTACACTGTGTATTTGGTAATTTACATGGTGTATTTGGTAATTTACACTGTGTATTTGGTAATTTACATGGTGTATTTGGTACTTTACACTGTGTATTTGGTAATTTACACTGTGTATTTGGTAATTTACATGGTGTATTTGGTAATTTACATGGTGTATTTGGTAATTTACAATGTGTATTTGATAATTTATACTGTGTATTTGGTAATTTACATGGTGTATTTGGTAATTTACATGGTGTATTTGGTAATTTACACTGTGTATTTGGTAATTTACACTGTGTATTTGGTAATTTACACTGTGTATTTGGTAATTTACACTGTGTATTTGGTAATTTACACTGTGTATTTGGTAATTTACACTGTGTATTTGGTAATTTACACTGTGTATTTGGTAATTTACGCTGTGTATTTGGTAATTTACATGGTGTATTTGGTAATTTACATGGTGTATTTGGTAATTTACATGGTGTATTTTGTAATTTACACTGTGTATTTAGTAATTTACACTGTGTATTTGGTAATTTACACTGTGTATTTGGTAATTTACACTGTGTATTTGGTAATTTACACTGTGTATTTGGTAATTTACACTGTGTATTTGGTAATTTACATGGTGTGTTTGGTAATTTACATGGTGTATTTGGTAATTTACACTGTGTATTTGGTAATTTACACTGTGTATTTGGTAATTTACACTGTGTATTTGGTAATTTACATGGTGTATTTGGTAATTTACACTGTGTATTTGGTAATTTACATGGTGTATTTGCAATGTTCATATACGTCACCTTCAATTTGCAAAATATAATTTATTGATTTTGTATGAGGGCAACATAAGTCTTGAGGGACCCAAGTGCCAAAAACGTTTGCCGAAGGCAACACTTTGGTTCAAATGTTCAGCAAAACGCATTCTGTCCGAGATCTTATTATTATATCATTTACTTTTTTATTATGACGTATCTTCCGAAGGCTTCCATATTGGCAATGAATATGACAAAATTTTGATGATTCTGAAACTGTTGTACGAGTATAACTTGCATTGTTGATTGATTGCTTGTTGTTTTTACATCCCATGCGAGAATTTTTCACTCATATAGAGACGGCACCGTGAAGGGTTTCAAATTTAGACCTAATGTTCAGAGTCCTTTTTTTATTTTAGCATAAAATAGTATTAATTTTTATTATCCCGTAATTTTGACCTTTTGACCTTGACCTTGGAGTTTGACCCACTTTTACACAAAAACTTTCATACTTTTACTTCGGCCATAACTTTTGAATCGTAAATACTAGGACTTTTATATTTCACATATATATTTTTTGTGACAAGACCTTTCATCGGATACCAACAACTTTGACCTTTTGACCTTGACCTTGGAGATTTCCGAATTTATGAAAAAATTTCAACATTGGCCATAAATTTTCAACAGTAAGGGCTAGGGCTTTCATACTTCATATATGTAATTCTTGGATATCAAGAACTTTGACCCTTTGACCTAGACCTTGGAGTTTGACCTTCTTTTAAAAAACTATGACCTTTGCCACAACTTTTGAACAGTAGATACTAGGACTTTCATATTTCACATATGTATTCTTTGTGGCAAGACCTTTCATTTGATATCAACAACCTTGACCTTTTGAAGTTGACCTTGGAGAATTTTCGTACTTATGAAAAAATTTTAACCTTTACCATAACTTTTGAATGGCAATGGCAAGGGCTTTCATACTTCACATATATAATCCTTGTGAGAAGACTGTTCATCAGATACCAAACACTTTAACCCTTTGACCTTGACCTTGGAGTTCAGTGATGATTTCTAAATAAATGATATATGATAGGGTGTTCATATTACACACAATATGTCATTAAAAATGACATCTCACCCACAAAGACACCGAAAGCGGGGGACCACAATTCCTTGAATTTGCTTGTTTTAACTTACACTTAATTATTGGCTTGTAGCATGAAGAAATACATGTACTTCAAAATCCCGCAATTAGTTTAGGAACGAAAGTAGATATACACATCCTTATTTGTTTACTTTTAAATGTATCAATTCAATTAGTGAAAATTTATGTTGATATCTGCTGTACTTTATTATTTCATACTACGGGTGATCTGTTTCTAAACATCAAGGATAAAAGAAGCAAATGTGCACATTTTTTGTATTTTTCAGCATTTTTATGCCCCTGTAAACGAAGTTTCGGAGGTATATAGTTTTTGCCCTGTCCGTCTGTCTGTTTGTCTGCAAAAAACTTTTACCTTGCCCATAACTTTTGAATGGGTGGGGCTATGGCTTTCATATTTCACATGTATATTTCTTGTGAAAAGACCTTTCTTTGGGTACCACCAAATCTGACCTCTTGACCTTGACCTTGGAGTTTGACACACTTTTACACCAAAATTCCAAACTTTTACTTTGGCCATAAATTTTGAACGGTTGGTTCTAGGACTTTTATACTTTATATATGCATTCTTTGTGAAAAGACCTTTTATTAGATGCCAACAAATTTGACCCTTTAACCTTGACTTTGGAGTTTGACCTACTTTTTAAAAACTTTAACCTTGGCCATAACTTTTGAACTGTACGAGCTAGGACTTTTATACTTCAGATATTTAATTCTTGTGACCAGACATTTCATTGGATACTATAACAATCTTGACCTTTTGACCTTGACCCTGGAGATCGACCTACTTTTAAAAACCTTTAACCTTGGCCATAACTTCTGAACAGTAAGGGCTATTGCTTTCATACTTCATACATGTAATCCTTGTGACAAGAACTTCCATTGGATACCAAAAACTTTGACCTTTTGACTTGACCCTGGAGATTGAACTACTTTTAAAAAACTTTAACCTTGGTCTTAACTTTTGAATGGTAAGGGCTATGGCTTTCATAATTCACATATGTAATCCTTGTGACAATACCTTTCATTGGATACCAATAACTTTAATCCTTTGACCTTGGAGTTTAACATACTTTTAAAAAACTGCAACCTTGGCAATACATTTTGAATGGTTAGGGCTAGGGTTTTCATACTTCCCATATGTAATCTTTGTGGCAAGGCGTTTCTTAAGAAACAACAACCTTGACCCTTTGACCTTGACCCCAGAGTTTGACCTACCTTTAAAAACGTTAACCTTGGCCATAACTTTTGAACAGCTGGTGCTAGGGTTTTATATTTCACATTTGTATTTCTTGTGAGAAGTCCTGACTTTGGGTTTCAACATGTCTGATTTGCATTTTAGAAAATTTAACCTTCGCCATGTTGCCACACGAGGGCATCAGTGTTTCACAAACACATCTTGTTTTAAAGCAAAAATTAACTCTACGCCCTATATGCATACAGGTCCAACAAGTGTATAGGTCTATATTTAAACAAATTACCGTTGTCATTAATTGACATTTTCATTTAGCGAGTTTATTACTCTATAAAAATTGTACTTTGAGTTCGTTGTCATGATGCTTTCAGGTGCATAAGCACATTTTATTTGTAAATTTATTAGCACAACTTACATGTACTTTCAATATATAGATATACTTATACTCTTATCAATTGTTTTACTACTACATGTATTTTCATGTCTCCGGTTCGGTTTTCTTTGTATCATCGGGTTCGATGTCATCTGACGTTCTAGAACATTCAATAAAGATTAGATCGGACATAAACGGAAAGGTTTTGTACATTTTGTTTTTTAATCAGTAACCACAACTTATTTCTTTTATTTCACTTAAACATATTCCATGTATTTAAATTTAACAAAAGTCAGCTGTATGAATTTTGTATATAGATATATGTATATACATGTATATAATTTTGTTAAGGTCAAGATCTAGTAATTTCCTTTAGCCTACCTTTTTGGTGCTAGATCCATTATGACTTCATAATAACTTTCATCTTTCTTTTTCCCGTACTTTACAGTTCCAATAGTATTATGTAGAAAATAGGGTATTTTAATGGAATTCATTTTAAATCATGTGAAAAGTAATATCGATACCTATAATATGTTTTACGGTGTGACCGTTGGGGCGAACGCAGTAATGTACCATCAAAAACACTTGAAAATTGATTATAGACTATAGCCACTTCGAATACCAAAACGCACAAGACATCTCGACTACTGTGACGTCACACGACGTCACGGAGCTCGTCGGAGATTACGGAGACAACCGAGCGTCTAGTTGAAACTATAGACCTAGTGCAATTTCGGTCGAAAAAATTGCAGAGTTATTTTTTGTTTCTTTGAAAGATTTCTACAAACTGGAAGCCTTTTATGCTTTACGTTATTATTTATTTGCGCAAAGGACATTGGGTAGTGCAGGAATTCTGGGAATGTTTCACAGAGAAATTTGGCTGACGTATGTACAGATTTCAATCCGAATTTCCTCTGTTCATACACGTTAGTCTATTGAGCTCGCTGCGCTCGCTAATATGTTAGACGGTGTGACCGTTAGTGAGGGCGGAGCCGTGAAGAGAAAATTGCTACATTTTATTGTTTAATGATAAATCAGTTGATCAGTTTAATTCTGAAATTGTCAATGCATAGAACTAAAGCAAAGGGTTCGCTTCATGCGGGTCTATGTCAGAAAATCATAACAAAGAACTCAGTTCTCTTGGGAAAAAAAAGCTTTCCCATCTCTTACATATACCTCATTACTTTTCATTCAAATAATGCAAGATATTTCATCATGAGATGAATGGTTGTCTAGCCAGAGCACTTAAAGTGGAAGAACGTCGTGGGAAAAAAGAGGGGCATGCATTGGGCTATTGGACCAGTAATGGGTTAAAACATACCGGGCCCAAGAAATGTGAGACAGCGCGGTCCAACGACACCTCAAACTTTAATAGTTATACACGTAACAGTAAACTTGTTCCAAAATACTAGTATATCCAATAAATAATAATCAAAAAAAAATTATCAATTCATAAACTTTTTCTGAGCACCAATTCTTTTTCTTTCACTACTTGATTTATATGCTTATTTAACAACTGAACGCTTATCTAGAAACCTCAAGTCATTTCTCAACTGTTATTACGTACTCCCATTACATGGTTATGATGTCATCTAAAGTAAGAACAATATTATTGTCAAGACCAGATCAGAAGACGAATTTGGGACCCAATTAACTACAGGCAGATGATCTACTTCCCGGATGAATCTAATCAGACCAACATTTGACTGTGTTACTATCACAAGAGTTGAAAATATAACAGCATCACAACTTTTATGGGAAAAAAAATTTGCAAACTAAATGATGCATGATCAGGGACATTTAATACTACGTCCATGTTGTGACATATCTTTTTTCTTTTTATTTATTTCTTTTTATTTTACATTATTTGTAACCCATTAATTATAATTATTGTTTTCTTAATTTTAATGAAAAATGTATATTTCACCTTTCAATCTTTTTTTTTTTAAACAAATATGATTTAAGTAGTCTTTAGAATTTTCTAAATCTAACATAATTGTATTGAAAACAATTATATATCTGGGGAAAAACTTTAAAAGTAAAAGTTTTTTTCTGGTACCCTTGTCATTAATAGTTAATTATATAATTTCAAAACCAACACTTGTGAATAATCAATATAATAATAGGGTACACTTTTGAGAAGTTATGAATAGAATATTTTATCAATGTCAAACAAAGATTCTGAATATTTGCTTGATGTTTTTGATAGATAAGCACATTTATTAGGATTGAAAACTATATTGATAGGCTTGATGTGTATTACATTTGAGTATAGTAGTGTACATATAGGTATGTATACATTAACAGAATGCACTGCACTTTGAAGTTGTATAACTTTGTGGATATTTTCATGCATTTACTGAAAGATGTATGTACATGTACTACTAGACTGAACAACTACCTCTCCAGACTGTACATCATACATTGTTTAACTTATTTTTTACTGCTTTAATTTTGACTTCATATGTAATTCCAATTATAAAAAAAAAATCTTTTTGATTTTTTAAATCAATACATCGTATTAGATTTTTCTTTTGATAGTGATCTTTGTAAGAAACTGAAATTTTGTCATTTTAAAAACTTTAAAATAAAATATTAAATTTTAAAAAATCACTACAAAAATGAGATTCAGACTTCCATAGATCCGCTAAATATTTATGTATCCATGTACAAGTAGATATTCATAAATAATTTGGATACCTTAAAAAAAAGGAAAAGGAAAAAATAAATCCACACACTCTTATTGAGTCCCCTGTGAGACTTTTCACAGGGTATTTTATTTTATCACTTTAAAAAATTTTTTAACTGTTCAAAAAATTATACTGTCAAAAAAATCCTATATTTCTAGCTTGGTATGTATTGACAAGTATAATCCTGAAGACATTTATTATTGGCAAATTTAATTAAGAAATAAATAAGGATATGCTTGTGAAAGGGACCACAGTTAGATCCGCTTCTCCATAGAGCAGACGACAGCGCCGCCTTTAGGGAAATTCTGACCAATCAAATGCTGTTTTACTTGTTAGCGCGAATTATAAACATCTAAACGTCTAAAACGAAAGTAGGAAGGGCCTGATTACTAATGGATTTGATTTCAAGTAAAAAAAATTACTACACATTATCCTTGGATTAAATGTTTTTTACTTTGATGAAAGTCTCACCAACAACGAGAATTTGCGCGTGGATAAAATCGACGCCATTTTATGACGACGCCATATTGGCGACAAGAATCTCAGTTCCATAGGTATTGTAAATGACATATAGTTTACAATAGATTTCTTTTATTTTTCATACACATACGTGTTACCTATAGGGAGAGCTTCGCTCTCACGGGCCCTTCGGGCCCGTGAGAGGGCTCCGCCCTCTATTAAATTTGATATTATTTTAAAGAAGAGGCCGAGAACCTACAAATTACCGTTTTCTGAGAGACTGTAGGCATTCTGGATATATTTCATTTGTCTTATATGGAAAAAATTCCCATATTCATGACTGTTTTTCTTAATTTTTCATTGAAAATGACAGTTTAAAATATGATTTTTCTTCTTGTTTCCTTCAGAATATGCCCCGAATCACCTTATTGGGCCAAGCTAAAGTTATAAAGCATCATTAAAGGAATTTAATTTATTTCTAAAATTTTATAAATTTGTAGGCACCTTTTATTTACTAGATATTGACCTTAAATGAAGATTTGACTGGATAAATTCATTAATGACGTTTTATGCAATATTTAAACGCTTGATTGTTGTCAGTTTCATTTAGAAATGTCTGTAACTTAGATCTAAAACCGGAACCAACACCGTACTCTCGTTTTTGCTATTTCGAGGCTATTAATCGAAAATGAAAATAGACATTTAATTAAATTTACGATAATTACTATGCGAGTGAAATCTGAATATAGTTTACAGACATCACCTTATACCTAGCAAATATTCCTAGAGGAGAAAGTATGAACTCTGGTGCAAGCGTTTAGGAGTATTTTTGCAAAATTTATAAGTATAGATTGTGTTGGGAATTCAAAACGACTGCTATCACAGGCACCTGAAGTATGGATAATACCCCTCCCCCCCTCTTTTTTAATGAAAAAAAATGTATCATTTTCGAGGTATCATACACTCTTACATTTTTTTTTTCATTAAAAAAAAGGGGGTGGTATTATCCATACTTCAGGTGCCTGTGCTGCTATGTCACCTTTTCAAGTCTGACTCATATGTTCTTCCCAACTAACATAAAATCCTACCTGGGAGGACATAAAACCGACAATCGCTAAATTCCGAAATATAAGGGGCTTATCGGTTTTGGTTTCTTATTTCAATTTTCTTTGCGAATAAAACATCCGGTGGTGAGAATGGCGGGAAGTTTACAACTTGAAAAAGATGTTCAACAACAAATAGAAACGTAAGTGTGCAAGGAATATTGTGTATATTTTACATTCGTATTTCTCTTAGTTTTACTGAAAATGAATCTGTATCAAACATTATCTTACACAGTGACATCAACAGTATAGGAAAACAAAGCATTCATTTTATGATTCAAGGCTAGCGATGAAATAAGAGCCTGTGAAATAACATAATTTGTTTCAATATTTGAGTCTTACCTAAATTAAAAGGAAAGCCCAGGTTTTCATAGAAGATTTCCCTCTGTCATTTGCATAGTAACATGACAAAAGATATGCAAACTCTCACTACGAGTCAGTTAGTTAGGAATAATGCTTGCAGGTGGTAAATCTAGTACTCAGTTTGCACGATTCCCGTGTATCCATAACGCTGTCGGATGTTCATCATTGCGTTTTATTCCCTCAATAGAATTTTTTAAAATTTATTTTAATGGAAGCTATAGGACATATTTAATATTGATTCACCATGTCCATTACCATCATTACACCTCAGACCTGTCCCTTGTTTATGTATAGATAGTTTTCGATTGACCTAAAGTTACCTCCCATTGGTCGCCATATTGGAGGTCGACTCGGTGAGTCTTTGTCTTAACAAGTTTAAGAAAAATATAGCATAAATATTTGGCGAAAAACTTGATTAAATAATTTTTTTTTAATAAAGGAGGTTTCCGAAAATTTATATACTTCAGAATATAATGATTCCTAATTCAAAATCGCAAATATAAAATAAAAAATTTAAAAATTGATTCAACTATGAAGGAATATGAGCATTTGGATCTCCAGTATGGCGGCCAACAGGAGGTAACTTTTGCTAAATTTAAATGAATTGAAAACTATCTATAACTTTTATGGAGATTTTCTGATATTTTAGTAAGATTTTGGAAGGATCAGAGTCTTAACAAACAAAGCTGCAGAATTGTAGCTCTCCAAAAAAAATATTGACGGACTGGAAAGCTACGTAATAATAATGTAATAATATTTATTGTTCACAAAAGAGTGTGCTATTTCTCAATTTATTTCTCCATGTTTTTAAAACTGTCATCTCAAAATATTATTACCATGTGTTCCTAACATATTCTTACTCTGTTTCCTTATTTAAGGTAGGTCGCGGGTTTACTGCATAAAAATTCTTACGAGAAAACATATCCTGAAAATTTGATATTATTTTCCTTAGAATTCACAGCGTATTATCTACAATTTTTATTAAATTTGCCTACGTAGTTTTAATGCTATAGTACTGTAAAGGAAGTATTGTTTTTAGTACTTTTTTACGTTTTACAATTGAAATGTGTGGTAAAGTGATGTTTTAAGCCAATTTTGTGAAAATAGTTTCTTTTAAAAGGGTTGAATAACTTTTTAAAGACGTAGACAAATTAGTCAGGAATTTCAAAATGTGAAGATGAGGTAAAAGCAAAACTATTAATGTAAAGAAATCATATGTCTTCTCGCTAGATTTTCTGCTAAATAATTTCAAAGCTTTATTTTATACTGATAAAATGTTGCGTTTATGGCGTTATGTATATCTACAATGTCATTTGTTGAACGCAGTCACGTTTACCGTATGAGTATAAAAAATCTTGACATTTGGAATATGCTGGATTTAAAAGGTGACATAGATACCAAATTAAATTTTATGAATCATTTAATTTGTAGCGGAGACAAATAAGTATGACCAGCAACTTATTTTCACTAGTATTGTGAAATTCATATTCTGAACACAAAGTCAGAATGAACGGTATAAACATTCCTCGTGCACGAGAATTACGTACAGCGACAACAACGTGAATGATAAAATATACAATCATTACTACCTGTATTTTTAAAAAATCTATGGCCGACAGGATTTCAGGCATAACACAAAAGTCCAATGACTTTATTCGAAAAATGTAAGAAAATATACCGATACTGAGGATATAAGCGGCCAGGGGGGGGGGGGGTGTTTACCTGAAATGCTCTTTCTATATTAGTCGCAAGCTATAGTATATGGCCCTAAATCTTAAAAATTTGCATTTGTTAATTTGATTTAATTTAAAATTTCAATACGCAAAATGTAAAACTCTTGCATTTAGCTTTTACACTTTCAGCTTTTGTCATATAAAAGAATATATAGAAAAAATGATACATGTGTAATGTCATATAGATCTTACAGTCCAGGTGTTTGTACATGTATAAATTAGATTTTTAAATGCACAATTTAATAGCCAGCAAAAGGCGAGTACATGAGATTTAAATGCACAAGAACACAACAATAATGATAATGAAAAAAAAAGGAAAAGGCATGAAATTAAATTTAACACGTTTTTGTGATGAGGATTTCCATTCTGAAAAGTATACGCATATTTTCGCCCAGGCTCTGATTTGTAATCATGATGCAATATGCATGCTTCCCTGACTTTTCCGCTGAGCAATTTTTATTCATGATATCTTTCTTTCTGCATACCATAACTTTTACACTGATTTTATTCTGATTGACTATTAGCAGTTTAGTTACACTTACAATATATATTATCATGATTATTCCTTTCATTTGGTATTGTATTTAATTAGTCCTAAGACATTACATATAATTACATCAGAATTCAGACTCTTTAACAGGGCGAGGAAACTATTTTCTGTGACGTCGGAATAAATTTACATGTTAAGTGTGGAACCAACGTGACTGACTAATCGACCAATCAGCTCAATGAGTTGCATTATGGGTTACTACAAAAAATACTACTTGTGTGTTTTGAAAAGCCAGTTTTTTTAAAATCGCTCTCGGAAAGACGTGATGCATTTTTTCAAGCATTTTACATGATTGATATAATATGTACATTATTATCTACTAATCCCATGCTCACATT